ACCTACTACTAAAACTAGCCTACATGAATTTGATTTTTGCCTCACTTCTGACAGTTCGTTTGTTATGAAACTATCATTCTATGCGTTATTATTCTAAGTATATGTGTTAGAATTTATAACTGAGTACCAAATGACATTAAAGACTTGCCACTAGCATTTATTTGGTCTGTAGACTTGCCCATTATATTATATAAAATAAAATTATACGAATGGTTGAAAGATATAGTATGCAATCGTTGCATAATGAGGGTTCTTAAGTCGAGTACCGCGTTTAGGCCACGAAGCTTTGGCGAGTGCCCTACGTAATAGGTACGAGATTTTAAGACCTAATGATGTAATGATGCATACAGTACTTCTTCTACGAGTAAATAAAATAATGAAACAGAATTAATATTTAATGTACATTTTGTTAACAATCCATGACAACAAAGCAATTTTATTTTTAAATAAATTTTAACCCAAATATTAGGGTAAGCAAAAGTTCCACCATACAACCTCTTCATATACTTAGACGAAAGCCAAACGCTGCCAAATAAAAAAAAACAAAGAGATAGAATAGGACTGGCCAAATAATAATGGCATTATATTTTACTTTATTTTCTTCCATCCTATGTATTTTACTAATAAATGTTTTTATAAAAATTTATAGCCCGGTTGTAAAACTTTTAGCCCAATTTAAACAATCAAGAGGTAGTACAGCATTTTACTGGACTTTAATGAAATTTTTCAGCTCAGAAACGAGTACCATAGACAATAAAATATTGATTCAGAACTAAAAAAGCGCCTTTTTTTAATTAATAATTTTGGCTTGGGTACAAGTCCTTTGAGCCATGTCTTCGTTTAATTATGTTTCTGTAAATATGGCCGCCACAAAGAGGATAGGCAATTTGAGGCGGCGTGCTTGGATTGACTCGGAATTCCTTAGAACGGGCCGATACGGGTATTTTAGTTCGAGGTTCGTATAATTTCGCGTTTTAATCTTCGATTAAGGCACAGTAGCACTATCCTATTCCACTTTAAACTAGATTTCACAAAATAATTGAAAGTCAAAATAAAAACGACACTTTTTCCCTCCAAAAGGCCCAGAGCGAATAAAAAAAAAAGCGCCTTTATATGGCTTATAAACTTAGAGGATGGAAAAAAAAATTAAAGTACAGGAGTAGAAAAAGTATATTACAGTATTAAGGATGTTTTTTCAATAAGTATTGTTTTAGAAATGAATTTAAATTAATTTGAGAGTATGACTGTTATTACTGATATATATTACAATGTTATATTAATTAATTGGTTATACTCATTGACTTGTAAGTCAATGGTTATACTTATAATTTTCTACTTACTTACTTATACTTATAATCATGTGGCGACCAATTTTTTGCATGCCTAGAATATTTTCAGGGGGCACGTGTTTGTACCTATTCTACTATTTGTTATCTTGACTAGACAAATCATTTATTCTAGCAAATAAATGATTTGATTTGACTTAATATTTCGTCGGCCCAGGAATTGAACCCGGGACCTCTGCGTGGCAGAGCAGCACGGTCGGTGACCATGCTGCCTCGAAATCGGAGGCAGCACTATAGAATAATCCTTAGAAAATTATACATACATCCATCTCTCAATAAACGAATTTCTCAGTAATGTAAACTCAGAACAAGATTCCAAACGAAAAAAAATCCTATTCATAATTCCTAGTAAACAAAGTATTATGATCATACATTAATTTATACTTACTTATCCTTGGTCGGTCATACGCTTCAAAAAGTTTTTGCTCTTTTTTGTTTTGTTTTTGTTTTTTAATTATTTTACATTGCTATTATTACGAACACACAAAAACAGGAAAACAATTGTCTCGCTTTACGATAAGGCAAATTAATTACAATGTATAATTTTTATATTCTGTGTAATATTTAATTTTAATTATATCAGGTACGTAAGACCACGGAAGAAAAAACCAATGAAAAGCCCCGATTACTATCAGAACCGCTGTCGCCAAAACTCACATAATCATAATTTGAAGCACTATGAAATCTTGATAATGATTGCACGTAGTATCTAATTTAAAAAGATGTTAGTTTCTAATTTAAAAAGACATAACAAAACTTTACCTTGTTGGCATATCTATATGATAGTTCAATACCTATTAATGCAACGTTTATGACGTTTTAATTTTATATGAAATTTCAATCAATGTGCTGCCATCTTGCGGTTAATAGCTGAACGACGACGAACTCGAGCTGTTTACATATGTAGAAACGACCAAGAAAGAAACGACCTTAACGCAGTTTAAACTTGGTATTAATACAATACCCAATATAATATAACGACCTTTGCTATTGTAGTTCCGGTTTTAAGAATAATTACCTAAGCAAACTTTTGTAATAAGACTCAAGATGAAGAGTCCAGGGAAAGAATGATGAATGACTTTAGAAGAAATTTAGGAAAAAATAATTTTTAATGTGGAGAACTTTTAAATATTGACGAAAAAAAAACATGCACAAATGCTACCTTAAATTTTAATAAAGACAATGCTGACATAAATGGTAACGCTATGTAAGTATGTAACGCTATGTAGTCCATTTTAACTTTTCTACCATTTAGTCGTATGCATTTCTATGACTACAAGTAAAAGCTAATTTTTAAGAACATTGAACCTTATTAGCCTTTTTCTGATTTAGGCTCAGCGTTTACCGAACTGGATAGCGGTGTGACGGTGTGAAGTCAAAGTCAAAGTCAAAGTCAAAGATGATTTATTCCATAGGTAAAATAAATTTACACTTGAAAACGTCACATTTAAGGTACTGCTCGTTCACTACGCTGACCTCCCTGAGAAGAACGAGCAAGAAACTCTAGGGATTGCTCTTTTCAAATAAACTTAAATGCTATGGAATACATTTTGAATCAAATTTGTGTGGATTCTGGAGCCATGTCGTCTTTCCATACATCTTTATCTAACACGTAGTCTTCAATTTTGTAATATGATTTTTCGATCAAAATATTTTTAATGTAGTTTTTAAACTTAGGAAATGATAAACTTAATATATGCTCCGGAATCTTATTGTAAAAACGTATACAGTTCCCCATAAAAGAGTTGTT